CCGATACTAAAGGAGTGAAAACTGGGAAAGGAAAGCAATTGTATTCTCCCGGTTGAAAATGCTAGTGTTGTAACTATCGAATTCAAACACCTACTAGACCCTTTGGAGAAAAGCACTCTTGGCTAAAGTTTGCCATTTTAGACCACACAATCAACCGCTAAGGTGTCCTCCAGCAAAGCCAGGGAAGACTAGATTTGCCATGCCTGATATTTCTAAGACAAGAAAGAAAGGAAAGCAATTGTATTCTCCCGGTTGAAAATGCTAGTGTTGTAACTATCGAATTCAAACACCTACTAGACCCTTTGGAGAAAAGCACTCTTGGCTAAAGTTTGCCATTTTAGACCACACAATCAACCGCTAAGGTGTCCTCCAGCAAAGCCAGGGAAGACTAGATTTGCCATGCCTGATATTTCTAAGACAAGAAACCCCTTGGTAGGTCACCTTAACAATTTAAAAGTGAAGAGGTTTATGGGTAGATCTCTTCTCTCCCATGGGACAGAGGGAGAACCACTCCACCACAGGTATCCCCTCGCGGCCAAGAAAGGAATCGAATCTACCCGCACAAATAGCAACCGTGGGTTGCTCTTCTCCACTGAAACCTCCTCCCCCTACCCTGGCACAAAGAAACACAATGCCCAGCAGCAAGCTCCAAGCCTGGCTGGAAGAATTGCCTGGATGATTCACTCCAGGTGGCAGCAGCCAAGAGCAGGAGCCACAAAAAGCCTGAACAGGAAGGAAAGACGGCAGGGGCAGAAGAGTTCCTGCCAGACACAGCACAGCTGTTTTCAGCGAGAACTTCCCCACGGGTGGGCAAGGAAAACGGGAACCTACGTGCTCCGTGAATCCAAGATTCCTGGGATGCCAGATGCAAGAGCTGTACTGTGTAGCCCTGGAGCTCCACAGCTGGGTGTGGGCCGCACAACGACACCCACGCAGCAGACCGGCTCGCTGGCCTCCTGGGGGGGCGGGCAGGGGGGGGTGCTGCAGGACAAGCAGCAGCAGAAAACAGGGCCTTGTCATGCAGCGAAGCAACGGGAGCTCTGGCGAGGGGGGAAGGGAGCGCCCCAGAGTTCCCGAGGGGCCCCTTGGACCTGAGCTAAGATTGTGGCGAGGAGGAGGAACCCATCCCGAAGCTAATCACGCTTCAGATCAGCACCAGCCGGAAGGCAGCAGATTGCGGCTGTGCCCGGAGGCCTGTCAGTGCTTTAACGGGCTGGGACAGGCGCACACAGAACAGGCTCACCGCTGCCCTCCAACCCCCCTCTGGGCTGCTGGGGATGCAGAGAGGCACTCACCTGGG